AACTGCACAACATGTAAAGTGGAGCTGATGAGTCGACAAGTTATAGTAAAATCTTTAATAACAAATAATGACAATATAATAAAAATAACTCCATGTAGGCCACTCATTTAAACACATTTTATTTTTTTAATTTTTTTTCACCAATGTACTTTCTTATATTGCATTGTCTCACATATTCCAAACGTCCCAAATTTAACTTAACAGTCAAGTATAATGATTTCAATGTGATCCAGGCCTATGATTTGATAACATGTTCAGAACCACTTGGACCATTGTTTCGTTTGTTCATATAAATTGTATTAGGGCTGTATCATGCACAGTGCTCACAAGTGCTTCATGCATTCGATTCTAAGGAGACATTGTGCAGACCGTACAATTGAACATGCTCTTTCCACTCGTTCTCTGCGTTTCTTTGTCGTCTTTTTTTCAGCTTTTCTTCATAAACACAGACGGTGACGCACAGTTTTCGCTGCATTCGGGGACACTCACACAGCCAGGCAAATAGTCTGTCTTTTATCTTATTCTGTCTCATCTCCTTATTGTAAATAGAAGAGAATTAAGTTCTGAACACTCTCGACTTGAATGTGCCCTATCACAGAACTACATTTTATTGTCGGCTCAAATGAAGAATTGAAATATGACGGGGTTTTGTCAGTGTAGGGCTCATTGGACAGGAGATAACCGCATTTGATTCTGTTTCTTTGAATAATGTTAATCCCCAAAAACGCAAAAGTCCATTATTCATTCATCTCCTTTCATTTGGCCCCTCTCCTGATTTTGTAAATATGATTTCTTCAGACCCCATTTTTTTTCCAAAGCAATCTTTATTCACCGAAAAGCACTTTTGAAATTCCTCTATCGCAGAGCAGAAACCATTACCATACACAGGTTTAGGAGAAGTAGTCATTAATGCTCTTTTATGGTGGCCCTTTAGTGCCAAAAAGGAAGCTTTTAATTCTCAGGCACAGCAGCAGTAGCCTACTTAATCCGAGACTGGGCCTTGTCAAATGTGGCTTTCCATGAGGTCTTTTTATATCTTCACCAGTGTCCCCTCTACAACCAAAAACAATACAAACCTAAAACATACACAAATACGACAAAAATTATTAACGTCCCTTTATAAAAATGCAGGAAATATTTAAGAAGTTATTTAAACTTTCACCTTCTTATATTTGCTCATAGATGAGATTTTTAATTTTAAATGCACTGGTTTTTAAGCACCATTTTTAAGTCAGCGCCTTTGTGGCATTTTGATTTATTAAGCAATCTGAAGTATGGAATATGTGCGCCCCTGCCCTTCTCTAGTTACTTCTTTATTTCGTATGCAGAGTAACTTATGGCAATGATGAATTAATTTCACTCAAGCACAGAATGTGTGATTATTTTAAATAGTAACCATATCATGACTTGATCAGGGAGCTGTGAGGAGGCAGCAGACTGTGAAATGTAATTTCTATTATTATTATTTTATTATTTTGATCTTGCAAACCAGGAGAAATTCTAGCCAGCCACCTGAAATGTGAAGTGATAATGAATGAATGTGAGGATCAGAGCATTTCAGAGGACTTCTCTGTCTTTTTGTTGTTCTAATGAGAATATTTTAAACAACTCATGCATATAATTACTGTGAGTGTCCCTGTTGTTGATAGATCCAGTGTAGGGGCTGCACATGTGAGAATGGATAGCCCCAGCCCCGGCCTCTGTCACACTGCTTGTATGATAACAACCCAGCGCTGGTACTGCTCAGACCGCAGCGGAGACAGCGCACTATTCCCTTTAGATGGATGGGCCGTGTCATAGTGTGTGTTTACCGCACATGATCGAATGGGAGACAGGCCAGGTAATGAGGCTACATTAGGGGCTTTTAGAGCTCGCAAACAAAGATGGAGGGCTGCTACTTCCCCCTTTAATGATAGGTGTGTGAGTGTGGCTGCTGTGTTCGGTGTGTGCGGGTTCAATCATACTCCTTACACCTTTGTTTTGTCACTTTGCCAAAAAAGAAAATATATTCTCACAATCTCCAGGCCAAATGCGTCGTCAGGACTCCTCCTCTGATTCTGTACCTGATGGCACAGGCAGATTTGCGAAGTGCAAGATTCAAGAGTAAATATTTGCTCAAGCAGAAGAGGAATAGCAAGCAATGCTATGGTTGCACAAGGAATGAGACAAAAGCTGGAGTTGGTTTAAAGCTTTGCAAATACAATGTGTGAATATCTTTGCTTTATCTAGAAATACCTTTCTTTTCTTTGAGCTCCAACCTAAATAGAACTGTCAGAACTATCAGCCTATAGTAAATGTAGAAAGCATGGAGTTATCTCGTCTCTCGCGATCGCTCTACCACCTAAACACTTAGTATCACTATCATCAGCCTTCCCAAAGCTATACATCTGCAGAATTACCAGCGTATTACCCGGCAATCACAGCCTTCCTCTGTGTTTCCGATCGTGATAATAAGTGGTCTAAGTTCTCTCTCTCATTGGAAGATTATGGCTTGGGGAAATGGCATCAAATAGCGGGTGTGTTGAAACGCAGGACACCGGCAATTTATGTGATGTCAGGCACACGCGCGGGCAGACTGGCAGAGAGCTCACGCTGCATTAAAGCTGCCGAACGTAGCCCGAGGTGGCGCACTCCTTCCGACCCAGTTGGTTTATGGGCGGGCCGATCCGGGGTCAGCACTGGTTACCCTAGGGTGGGACCGGTGGTAGCTTTGTGTCCCCCTAGGTGCCAAGTGTGTGTCACCCTGCTATTGTGTGGAGTGACAGTCCCATCACCCACAGCCCGAGCAGCTCAGGAGGCCCTCGTCAACGGCGCCCGCCTCTGTTTCTAATTGACATTCTAATTGGCAGATTTGAATGCCGACTTTAGATGGCTAATTAATTTATCTCACCGCTGTCATTAAGGTTAAGACACCATCTGATCTCTGCGAATACACTTAGCATATATCTGCATTGTTATCGCGCTGCACTTGGACATGTCGTGTGGATTTTAGATTGGGTGAGAGAGCGTTGTTTGTCATTATAATATTTTGCATTATGTATTTGTCTCTTTGTCTCATTGTGTGTGTAATTATATGGGACCAAATTCAGTAGTTTGTTAATATCAAAGTAGCTGTTTCATTTCATATTGCTAGAGGTTGGTATTGCTTTTAGATATTAATAATATAAAAAAAAGAAAATTCCCATTTCCTCGCCTCGTATAGCTTCAAGTTTTCCGAACATCCGTCGCGGGTCCAAATAAAGAAAGATCCCGGCTCCATTAGAATGTTCATAAAATGGCAGTAAAGGCAATCAGACAGTCTTTCTCTGAATATTTTAAACATCGAGCATGTAAAATTTATGCCTAATTTGAATACTTATTAGCCGGCTGATCTCGGGCCGCAGCCTTGAGTTTCTTATGCTGAGATTCATCATCGGATTGGGTGTCACATTGTGCCAGTCCTCCCCACCAAAACCACCACCTCCGCCCCTCCCTCGCTCCGTCTCTCCCTCTACCTCCTCTCCTCTGTCATATCCCCCTTTTCCCAACTCCTCAGTGTTTCCCCCTCCCTCCTTCTTCTCCCCATCAGCGTAGCGGTGTTAAACATTGGCCGGTGTGTTCACAAGCGCGCTCCGTCCTGGCCTCTATCCCTCCTATTTAGTGTTGTCCGGGGCAGCTGTCGCCCTGCTCTGTGTAAAAAGCAGGCCTTGTTTGCTCGGGCTGCCTGGATCCTGTTTATTCGTGCTGTGGACATCCTTTAGGCTTGTCCCGCGCCTGGCCCTCGTCAAACACAAATCTCCACACTCACAAACACACACTTCTATTAAATTGCTGTTTACCAAAGACACACGTGCTTCCTCTGCTGCCTGTCCATATAAACACTTTCTCACATTCACCTCACTTTAGTAATGAAAAAATAGTTTAGCTGCCAAATTTGTTGCTTGAGTATTAGAATTGTTTGAAAATTAAGCTTTTTTGTAAGTGGTGATGGGGTGTATAGGTAAATGTAGGCAAAAATGATAAAACATTTAGCACTGAAGAGAGAGAGAGGGGGTAATATGCATAATTTATGCTGTTTTAACACAATCATTAGCGGTATTAGAATTTTATTTTTTCTTCCGACTTTCCCTCTCTTTTCATATCTTTGTACATTAATGCATTCTCAGTGAATTTGCATGATAGCCTGCATTTATTTACATTATTGAGGTTTGAATCAATTGCTCAAGTTTTCAGCACTGCATTAGGCTATCCCATTAAGCCTAGTAATTATTAATAATTTTATGCTGCCCCAAAATAAATGAATCTGTGTGGTTTGATTAAGGCAGAAAAGGATCAAGGTAATAATTTGACATATGAGCGTCCGTCCTCTATGGAAGCCTGCGAGGCACATTTTATTTCACTGGAGCAAAGATGACAAACCCATTATAGTCTTCATCAGCGCTGCCTGCCCCGTACCATGTGATCCGCTCCTCCCCCCTTACTCTCCCCTCTCCTCCTCCTCCTTCCTCCAAATTTTAATTTTACATGATTAGCTTTGCGTCATTAGGCAACTTCAGTCACATATGACGCGCTAAATTTGTGACACAGTTTTGACCGATATTCACTAGTGCCCTTTCACCACGGTCCGTCTGGATATAAACGATATTAATTGTAGATATGTTTTAAAATGGTCAAATTCGGTGTAAGTTTTCATTGAAAGTGCATTGTGGTGCTTGAAGGAACATAAGGTTTCCCCCTTTTCAAACAGCACCCGGGCGGACGTGCATCTCTTTGTATTGCTTCATTTACACAATGAATGCATAATTGCTCCTCCTGCATCCCCCCTTTTTTCTCTCTTCCCCCTCCCACTACTTTAAATGCTTTAATTTGCAGAAAGGGGGGGGTGACCGGCCGAGGGCTTGATAATAGAAGAAGCATACAAAAACAGGATTGAGGAAAAAAAGAAAAAAAAAAAAAAAAAAAAACGTGTGGAAATTGTAACAAGAAAAGAGCCCTAACTGGTGCCTCTTAATCACTTCTAGGTTTTAAATCATGATGATGCAGGAGTCGGCCACAGAGACAATAAGCAACAGTTCAATGAGTCAAAATGGACTGAGCAGCCTATGCAGCAACCAATTAGAGGCTGGCAGTAGAGACGCCAGATCAAGCGGCTGTGACACGAGCAGCGAAGTAAGCACAGTTGAGCTCCTGCATCTGCAACAACAGCAGGTAAGTTGTGCCTCTCCCGTCCTCCGCTCCGTCTCCCTCTCTCACTCTCTCTCCTCTCTCTCTCCCTCCTTTCGCTTTTCTCTCTCTCTCTCTCTCACTCCCGCTGTGTTTCTCCGGTTCACACTCAGCGCTTGGGATGCACTGCAGGCACACGCGAAAGAAAAGGCAGAAAGAAAGAAAGAAAGAAAGAGAGGCAGAGGAATTTGTGTTTTTGTCAAGCGTGGAAGAGAGACTTGTTTACATAATCGTCAGCGGAGTTTGTTGTGCTGTCACGGTGTTTTGCTCGTAGCTGTTGACTCAGGGAAGTGCTGTTTTTGTTGGGGTTGTCACAGGATTTGCTGCTGTTTGATGCTTTTGTGCGTGTTTCAAAGGAGCTTGTTTGTCGTGAATAGTATAGGCCATGTGACAGTTTGCGGAGAGCGGATGTGTGTACAGAGAAAGGAGAAAGTAAAAAAAAAGTCAGCTGTAAAGAACTGTGTATGTTCGTGCATGTGTGTCATAGCTGTAGTGTAACCAGCAGAGGGCCTCCTAACTCGATGTAGTGGAGTCACAGTGCAAAACAAACCAGAGCAAAATTTGACCACAATATTATTATTTTTTTAATACATTTTGAATTTCTATTGAAAAATCACTCATATTAAGATGAATTTGGGATTTTTATGGAAATAATTTAAATTGTCAATCTCATCTGTAATTGTGAAAATAAAATAAAAGTGTAACATATGCACAGTAGTGACTCTTGTACAGTTAATATTGCAGTGTTATACTAATTTTGGTCAATTTGAGAGGTTATCTGACAAAAAATGTGCAACAAAAGTAATTACATTATTTATAAGTAGTAGTTTTTACACTTACACACTACAATTTTGTGTTTCTTGGGAGGATTGTTCTCTTAAAAGTAAATTCTCTTTGAGTTGTTTACAATGTGAAATTTTATAAAATTTTAAGATCATAGCATATTAAATGAATCTTTAATTAATCTACATTTCAAAACGCTTATTTGTCTTTTGTCCCGTGTCTAATATTGCAGTGGTGTCGCTCTCAGTTGGATTCTGTGGGGGGGGGGTGAATGCTCTGGAGGAGGGTGCATTGTTTGAGCTGGTCTGGGGGGCAGGAGTGGTGAAAGTCAGGCGCCGCTGGACTAAAGGAGTCAAGTGTCTCTCGTGTCTTTTCACGGTGAATGATGGTTTTGACAGTTTGCCAAAAGAGCAGTGGGGGACCGGGTTAGAGGGCTCTGCTTTGGGGTTACAGCCTTGGCTCTGTTAGGATGTGTCGTGATCCTCTCTTTTGCTCTGGATGGAGAGTTTTCATATAGAACAAGTCCGTGGTGGCAGCTGAAGCCCTCCGGTCAGTTTGGGGCCGGGGCAGTAGTTGTTGCATTGCGTTTGAGTAAAGAGAGAAAGGGGCATTCTTATCTCAAGCAGAAAATGTGGCCAAAAATGTACAGCACCCATTATAAGTGAAAGAGCCAGCTAAAACTTCAAAAGTAATATTTATGAGAAAATAACAGCTTTTTAACTCTTGATTTTTACTAATTTGAACAAGACTTAGCTGGCTTAACTATCTCAAACTCAGGGTCAAACCAAATGCCATTTGACCTTTGTAATATGCTGATAATCAAAATAAATGACTGCATACCTTACCTATATCCATGTGTAATAATTAATCATGCACAAGTTGTTGATGTTGGCATTATGTGTTAAAAAAAATCACATAGACTTTCTCAAACATACCCAGTTGAAACAGAAATATAACACAACAATATAACATGTACTTGCTATTTCTTACTTCTTACCAACCCCCACCAGCTCTCCCTTGTGTGTACCCCCCACCCTTACACCCATCCTCCTGGCCCGGCCCCTGCCCAGTGAGTGGTCCTGCTGGTGACTGGTACTGCATGCACCCGCTGTGGCCTTCTCCATTTATCACCTCTCTGCCATTCTTTTACACACACAGAGACCTGATTGGGGTCAACGCCCAGGTCCTCAGGTGGTGGGCTGGCTCCTATCTGTACAGCGTAGGCGGAAAGTTACAACTGAAATAGATGAGGTGGTAGGTTGAAAGTTTTGTAGCGTAGAAAATAGGACTGCAAGATGAATCGCAATTGGAATGAAAACGCAGTTTGAATGGGTTTTTTGAAGTACTATAATTTCCTCCACAATAAACAAAATATCCTGCCTTATTTTCCATAAAAACTATTAACCCTGTAGTTTAGATCTGTACAAACATATTCTGAAATGTATTCCTGTATTAGTTTGTCAGTTCATATTCAGATTTTTTGTCAATTCTTTTGGACACTTTTAAAATGTGAACTTTGAACAGAACCCTATCAATAAAACATAAATCAGCAATTTCATATTTTACCAGTTTAGCCCTAATAACTTTAATATTAGACAAACAAAATGTATGAATCATAATATAGTATTTGAAATATCTATACAAAACTGCACTCCCTCTAGCAGGCAGATTTTATAACGTACATTTGGGTTGAATTAATAATAAAGTAATGGAACAAAATAATACCACATTTGTCCTTATTACATTATTGAACAACCGCTGTGCATATGTTCTAACTTTGTGTAGTTGTAATGAATTTAAATATGTAGACTGGTGTTATGGCAGGAGAATAGCATTGTCAGCACAAGTGTCTAGTTAAATCTGGGAGATAGACACGCTACTATGAGCCCGCGGTGGTGGACTCTGCTGCAGCTGCTTACGGTAAGGGGGCGTTTTGAGTATGACAGTGTGTCTAGTAAAGATCCCAACCCCAGCCGTCTGCGTAGGTCCATAGACAGACGCATTGAAATAAGCAGTCCAGTTAACAGGTCTCTGGAGGCTTTTTAAAACAGGGGCCCAATGCTGTTAACTTCACACACACTTCCTGTAGCGTTCACACTGGATCTCTACATAAGGGCAAGTGAGACAAGTGAGGAGCAAGACCGAAATGGTGTTTTAATTTGGCATGTGTGATAAATCATGGGTTTATTGGTAAAACAGCCAAAACAGCTCTGATAGTAATAGTAGACAATAGTGTTAACAGATCACAGAATGAATTTGTGACCTAATTTGAAGCACTCGGCTTGATACTTATTTATGTGCCACAATGATATTTTTAAACACAGAATGCTAGTACTTTCTGTGTTACCATGTGGTCTTATACTATGTAATAACGTAAAGATTATTCTAAAATTGTTCAGAGAAGGGTTAAATCATGTAAACTTTTTTTTTTTTTCAATATCAGTGCTTCAAATGAGTTCCAAACTAGTTTCATTATTAGTTTCTGTATTGCTTATTATGTACTTGTTGATACTTTTGACAACCGCAGTGACTCAAAAAAACACAAAACAAAACCAAAACAAGTCTGAGAACCTTTGATAAGAATTGTATTTAGGTTAATCTTTGTGAATTGACATTAAACACCTATTTAACTTACCATTACGTCACAAAAACATGCATGTAGTAGACATTTAGGAGCCTAGTCCTACTTCTACATAAGAGCAGATATTAAATTCGAGTCCACATCTACTTTGAGTCCATTCTGAAAGAAGGCTGTTGGGTGTAATTTTCCGCCCATATTTGGAATGACATTGAGTGGTCCGGTGGGCATAGAGGCCCCGGTCTCTCATCACGCTGCTGGGGGGATGATTAAGAATAAGCACTGATGAATTCTCCACTGTCCCTGTGGGTTCAGCCATTACCTAGCAGCTCCAAAATACTACCTGCAGCTATAATTAGAAAAGCACCGTCTTAAGGTCTCTGCGCCTCATCAGGGCCAAAGGCGCATAGGACCCTCACCATGAACAAATTATACTTAGTCAAATATTTAAACTTGACTTTTCACTAGGGCTGCATGATATTAGAAGACCATGTGATATGCTAAATCTCTGCTGAAAGTATCCATAGCGATATGTTTTTACTTGCGATGTAATGTAAATGCATGTACCGATTAAGGTTATAAACAACGGTTGAGTCAGGATTAATCCGCTTATGGCATGGTCCCACCAACTGAAAACAGTTCACTTTTAAATCTGACAACCTTTTGGCTCTCCATGGATGTTCAAAACATAAGTTATTTATGTTTTAGTTGAAGCTAGTCCCTCCTTACAGTGGTAGTATTTGTTTACTCGTTGCTGTGGTGATGCACTCAGCGTAGAGATATAGAACAGTGATAAGCTGTTGCCGGAACTACCTGTGTACAAAAATAATGCACTGCAGTTCACTTTAGGATTCTCACTGAACATGGTGTAATTGGCCATTATATGGGTTCCAGTGATATCAGAGAATTCATATATCGGTATCGGTCTGATCTGGAATATTTTGCTGATATTTGGCACTTGTATATTTTTTTTCTCAGTGCAGTTACCATTTATTGGTCAGAGCAGCAAGACAAATACTGTATATCGAAGATTCATATTGGACCATAATCCTTGACCATACCACATCTATACCAGGGCTAAGTTGAAAAAGTAGAAATACAACCATTTTGATTATACAAGTACAACTTATTGTAAAAATAATGTAATACATGGTATTATATTTCCTCTATTGGGTTGCTTATTTGTTTTGCTGGTATCGCCATAACTAAAATAGTTGTGCCGATATTTTTAACCAACCTACTTTCTACAGCTACAAAATCTTACTTATGGATGAAATCGCTATACTCTGCAGTTTCCAGAGTAATTTTGAGTTCATATTTTGTGCTGCTGCATGCACATTATAAAAGCCACACACTTCGTTATCCGGCTATCTGAATAATGTCACAATTAAATTTCCAGCCCCTTAATTTTTCCAGGGTTTCATCGCCCCGTTCCCAAGGTTGTCTAAATAGACCTAATTTGATTTGAGATCAGAGATTAGATACCCAGTGAATCTGATTGCAATTTACCAGCCGCAGATATGTATCAAAGCAGATCATCAGGCTGAGTCATTATGCAAAAAATCATCATAGTAAAAGCTTGCTAAGGAAAAAAAATCATATACTTGTGTTAGCAGGCAGTTTG